GGGTATCGGTGCCCCCCGCCCGAGGTCAAGGGCCAGCCACGCCAAGTCTCCATGGCCCCCCACACCCTGAAGTCTTCTGAGTGCTGGGGTTGTCTTCAGATTCAGAGTGAGCCTGTGCTGTGAGTCTAGTCAGGGACGGCTCGAGGAGGGTGGACGTCCGAGTGGGCTAAGACCCTGTCCTGGGCCACTCGGCTCCTAGGAGCCTGGGAGAGCCGTGCTGTGCTCACCTGCGGCTTGGGGATAGAGGGGTTGCCCCGGACCTGTCCGGAGCCCACTGACCAGCTCTGCCAGCCAAGGTGGGCCCGCAGTCCAGGCTGGGGGTGTGCCCCATAGCCCAGGCCTAGCTTCCCGGAGCTCCCAGCTGGGGCCTGGCCACCGGAGTCGCCCTCCCTTGGCTGCCCAGGACTACCCACGGTGCCCAGGGCAGGCCGTGCCCGTGACATAATTGCACCATGGCACCTGACCCAGATGCCATCTCCAGGGCATCCTTGTCACTGCCTTCTGTCTCAGGTCCTGTAAGTGCTGCCCGCTGTCCCCACCCCACTTCCCAGGGCCAGCACACGGAGAGGAGGTGTCAGTGAGCACACAGCCACACCAACCGCGCCCTGCTGCCGCTGCCGCTGCCACTGCACGGCGGGACTGGCCCCTGCCACCTGGCCCGACTGCTGTCGCCCTCTACCCAGACCTCCACTGCACGCCCTCCATGCCAGGGCACCAGCTGCTGGGCAGCGCTACCCTCCCCGTGGCCCCTCCTCGGCCTTCCTAATTTCTCGGGGAGAGGGGCTCCCTCCCGCCTGGAAGCCCGTCCCCTCTAGGCCATCCCCTGCCCCGCCTGCTCTGGCCCCACCCCGTGAGTGAGCAGGTGCGGGGGTTAGCCCACAGTAAGAGGACGTGCTGTCGCCAGGGACCTTTGGAACTGCGTCCAGCGGTCACACAGACCCATCTGGCAGAGCCCCCAGTGTCCCCACCCTGCACCTGAAACACCCTCTTCCTCCCGTCCTGTTTGTGCCTTCACCCACAGCAGGAAGAAGTAGCTGGCTTGAAAAAGGAGAGAGGGAGACCCAGGGCTGAGTCCCCTCTCCTCGGAGGCGCAGGGTGCTTGGTTCAGGCTGGGCGCTGCCTGGGCAGGAGCGCAGCCCCCACCTGCCCCGGAGCCTTGGAGCCAGGCCGAGCCAGGTGGCAGCGCTTTCTAGGCACGCTGTCCACAGAGGGCAAGGCACAACTGGGGCGGGGACGCGACCCCGTGGGGTTCTGGGTCACTGGGCCAAGGGCAGCCAGTGCTTCTAGGAGGGGCCGGCAAGCAGGGCTCTGAGCGTGATGGGCACTTGTCCACTGAGACAGGGCTGGGACCCTGAGCGCTCAGGGAGGGCCTGGGGCCTGCAGGGACTTGGGCACCCGGACTGTTTTCTTCTTCCTAGTTTCTACAAAAAAAGTTGCAAATCATGTTTGGGCAGGGGGTGGGGGGGAAGGTTTCCTCCTGCTGGACCCAGTGAGCTGGCCCTGCAGCTCTCCTCTGCTGGGGCCGCCCTGGTCCCCTGTCCCTGCTGCCCCTGCCACACGAAGCCCCTCTGGCTGCTGGGACCCTGCTGTGCAGCCTGTGTCTGAGGGGCCTTCTCGGGGTGGCCCTGGTGGGGCAGGAGGAGGAGGGAGCAGAGGAGCGGGGATGCGAGAGGCTGGCAGAGGTCCAAAGCGAGGCACTGCCCACACTCGGGGCTCTGCGCCCTCTCCATGTGCCTGTCCGTCCCTGTGTCTGCGTCTGCATCTGTGTCTGTCTCACGCATGTGTACAGCGGCACACACGCACACACATGCTCGCAGCACAGCCCCCAGAAGACTCTGCCAGGTCTGACGCCTCCTGACCAGCAGGGGAGATAGCAGCGGGAAGCTGGGGGCAACTGGACAGAGCAGGGACAGAGTTAGGGTTTAGGAGGTCAAGGGAGAGGACCACCCGGAGACTGTGGGGGACGTGGCCTGTCTGGGGGAGCTCCTCCAGGGGGCAGAGGTCGCACAGGGACACCCCCAACCCATGCCAGCAGGCCCCTGCTCTGCCCTCTGGGCCCACCATCCAGGGACTAGGTGAGCCAGGTCGGTGGTCGAGCAGCCTGGGGTGTCCAGGCAGGTCGGGGCCTGAGCACGTGCAGGTCCTTAGGCAGTGCTGCCGCTGTCCGGCCACTGGCTCTCCCGGTGTGGACAGTCTGGGTGGCCCAGATGCCATTGCTGCTGGCTGTCCTCAGGGAGTGCCGTCCCAGCCCAAGCAGCCAGCCAGCCGGTTCCTAGCCCGAGGGCCCTGCCCTGTCACTGCAGAGTCCCATAGGTGGCACCTTTCACAGGGGGATTCCAGCAGTTCTAAACGAGTACCCACGGTGACACGGGAGAGGATGGCAGAGTGACAGTGTCCTGTGAGAGGGAACCACCTGCTTCATTACAGAGCAGGAGCATCTTAACACGGTGTTCTTTTCCAACTAAAAAAGTCACCAGGGACCACACGCACACGCCAGGGAGAGCCACAAGGAGGGGGCGCCCCCACGGGGCTTGGGGTGCTCAGCTCAGGCCACAGCCCCTCTTCCTGCCTTCTCCATGCTGCCGGCTTCGGGCGCACACGCACACGTGCCGGGAAGAGTTTTTCAAGTGGCTGGGTCCTGGGCTAGAACAGCAGTCAGCACACGGGACCCGGCTCCCTTAACCACAGCGCCAGCCCCACCGCCGTCCTCACACCGTCTCCTCACAGCAGGACGCCACGTGGCCATAGACCCACACCCTTACACTCAGTGGACGTGAGGCTCCATCCCCGGGCAGCAGCCCAGCCAGCCCGGATGACCACATGCGGCATCCTGCCCCAAGGGACCAGCCCCTGAGCTGCCCACACTACAGGGCCACGCGGCATCCGTCAGGTGTAACAGCTTCTCCCACTGAGCACGGCGTCTGCAAGGCGCTCACAGCGGCCGCGAGGGGGTGACCATCCTCTTTAGGACTGGGTAGTGCCCGCCATGTGGGCACCCCCATTCCACTCTCCCTCCACCTAGCAGTGCCCACTCGGCTGCTCCCAGCACTGCCGACTGCAGTTGGGCCAGCTTCCGACCCAGGAGCTGCCCGGAGTGGACGGGCTGGGTCCCACGGTGAGCCGAGCTCTGACTTCGGGGAGCTCTCCTGCGGTCCCCAGCGGCTATCCCATGCGTGTTCCCCACAGCAGTGTCCAGGGTGCTGGCCTCTCCCTGGCCTGCCAACTTGCCATGCCCACTCTGCTGTGCGTGTGGCGGAGTGTGTCCTAGCAGCCCCTGTGCTTTCGACTTGGTTCCCCAGAGGCGGGTACTTTCCACATGCTCACTGGCCACCCGCGCATTGTCATAGAAACGTCCAGTCAGTCGCCGCCTGCTTTCTCAGTCTGGTTGTTTCCTTCTCACTGTTGAGTTTGAGGAGTCCTCTGTAAGTCCAGGTGTTAGTCCCTGTCGGGTATATGAGCTATACTCTCCTCCCGTCCTGTGGTCTGGTTGTTTCCTTCTCACTGTTGAGTTTGAGGAGTCCTCTGTAAGTCCAGGTGTTAGTCCCTGTCGGGTATACGAGCTATACTCTTCCTTCCCATTCTGTGGTCTGCCTTTCTTTCCTTTCTTTCCTTTTTTTTCTTTTCTGTTTTTAGGTTTTGCCATAGAGCACAGGCACTTGCTAGACAGACAGAGAGAAAGGGAGCAATCACCCCCCAGGGGGTGGCCACCGCCATCCCTTCTCCTCCATTCTCTCAGGAGTCTAGTACACGCACACCCAGCAGGATTTTCAAGCTGCCAGGTGTGGGACATGCGTGGGATGCCAGCACCCTAACCGCTGTGCCCTGCGGCCCTCCGTGGGCTGCTTTTACACTCTCGTATATCGAGCACCCCACCCTCACCAACGTGTCCTGTGCAGGCAGCAGATACAGGGCATGGGTGGAAAAGCAGCCAAGTGGCACGGGAGGGACCAAGTTCTCAGGACACGTTTGTGTTGGGGACTCTGAAGGCAGGTGGGAGTAGGACAGGATCCAGGCTACGCTGGCACCACCCTGCTCAGTGGCCCCTGAAGGAGGGGCAGAGATGTTGCCCTGGGGCCGCCAAAACTGGGGTGCGTGCTTACAGAGCTAGCACGGCCCTCGAGCTGGGTGTGCTGCTGGGCAGCCCTTTGCGTGTCTGCCACATCGGGACGTAGTTGAGGGAGCTGCACGGACAGTGGTCGGCCCAGGGGTGATGGCAGTGTCGGGCAGAGAGCTCACCTGCCCGGGACCTCCATGGCCATGGTGGGTCCTGCACCTGGCCTGGCAGGGTAGGCTGGAATCCCGCCGTGGCGGCGTGGCTCTGCAGCGAGTCTCCCGGAAGGACCTCAGCAGCCTCGTGTCAAACGTGGAGAGTCCTGCTGGGTGGAGAAACCCGGGTCCCGGCCCAGCATGCTTGCCGCTGCTTCCCAGCTTGGCTCCGGCCAGCCACGCTGCCCAGCATCTCTGCTGGCCAGCTGACGACGCCCTGCCACTGTGCCTGCGTGCACTCGCTCCCCCAGGTGCCTTCATGATCCCGTTCCTCATCCTGCTGGTCCTGGAGGGCATCCCCCTGCTGCACCTGGAGTTCGCCATCGGGCAGAGGCTGCGCAAGGGCAGCGTGGGTGTGTGGAGTGCCATCCACCCTGCACTGAAGGGCGTCGGTGAGTGCGGGGCTGGGCCCCCAGGGCGAGTGCCCACCTGCCCTCCCAGAGCACCCCGGGCGAGGACCTGCAGGGGGCACTACCGACCTGCTCCCCTATGCTCGCTGTGCCCAGCCTGGACCAGCCAGCTGCACTCACTCTCGGGAGCTCTGTGACCAGAACACAGGGACTTTGGACACGGGTGGGCATCGGGACCCGGCCCACGGACAGAAGGGCAGGGTCTCTGTCCCTCTACCTGTCCTGTCCCCCATCACACACCCACCCGCCCGGTCTGTAGCCCTGCGTTCAGGAAGGCCTGTGCACGCCCTTCCTGAGCACGCCCAGCTTCCTCGTGTGACGGGGCCACTTCCCGCTGTGGCACCGCTGGGCAGCTGCAGCTTTCCAGACGCCCACCCTCAGGGCCCACGGGACGCCCCACCTGGGGCTGGACCTCAGGGGAGGCTGCCCGCCTCCCAGGGCAGTGCCGTCCCTGGGCGTCCAAAGCCCTGGACAAGGGCTGCAACGCTGGGGTCTTGGGAGACTCCAGGCGGGAGGGGCCGGGAGCCCAGGGGGCCGCCCTCAGTGACTGCGCCCGCAGGTGTGGCTTCCATGTTCGTGTCCTTCATGGTGGGTCTGTACTACAACACCATCATCGCCTGGGTCATGTGGTACTTCTTCAACTCCTTCCAGGAGCCCCTGCCGTGGAGCCAGTGCCCACTCAATGACAACCTCACAGGTGTGCGGGGCAGCCGTGCGGCCACCCCGGAGCCCG